TAATACAGGCAGTCCCCGGGTTACATGGATCCGACTTACATCAGATCCCTACTTACAGACGGGGTGAGGCAACCCCACACTAGCTGCTTCCTCCCAGCAGACCAGGGAGACGCGAAGCTAGCATGCCCCCCCCTCCCCCCCCCAGCAGACCAGGGAGACGCGGAGCGGCTTTTCTCAGCAGACACCTCAGCTTGAGAATAAAGGACTGAGGGAAGTGAGGTGTGGGAGAATAAAACTGAGCTCTGGAGAAATGTTTGGCTAGAGTTTCCCCTATAATATGTACCAGTTCCGACTTACATACAAATTCAACTTAAGAACAAACCTACAGTCCCTATCTTGTACGTAACCCGGGGACTGCCTATATACCAAATGTTGAGTGTGCTAGAATTGACATTTCAACTTTTTCTACAAAATGATTATTTCATCCAAACCCTCACTTCTTTAAAGAGGGCAGCAATGCTGACAATGAGTGGAAAGGTTTACCTTTGCTAAATACCCAAGTGCTAGTTTGGACTATTTTATTCCCTTCAAAAAAAAGTTATAGTGTTGTATAGGGACCATATCCAGGATTTGGTAGGAACGATCTACTCCTGAACAGTAGAGCTACAGTTTAGTGGTCAGCCTTCTCTGGGAGGACTGCAATGGAAACTAGCCATGGAGGAAATCTGGTTTAGCCAGGTAAGCCAAAAACAATTAATTTGTGTTAAAACACAAAAGAATATAAGAGGTGGAGTGTTTTGGGAGACAGGACTGAAAAAGTTGAACTCTAATACATACACAGAACAGGGAAAATGAAAGTTTTGATGAAGCCAGAAAAAACTGGTGCAATTCCTTGTTTAAGAAATGTAAATCCTTAAAGAAACAAACAAAAAAGCCCAACATTCCTGCCCTCCCTTCCATCTCCCAAGTATTTAAACCATGAACTTTAGGGTGCATCATCCTTTTTAGTTAGCTATCCCACAGCTGTGCAACATACTGCAGTATCATCACTTAGGCTGTCCAAAAGTAACTGGCAGTATTCGAGCCAAGTCTATTTTAGCTAAGCTCAAACCCGTATGGGCCCTATCCACATTACAGCAAACTGTTTTAAAATATATACGCCAACTATTTTGTTTATTTTGGTTTTCGTAGCTACTGAAAAAGTACAGTAACTAATGGTTTTGTTTTTCAAAATGTAATGCTCATGAAAGGAGCTGGGTTGACAGCTCTGAAAAATTATAAGATATGGCATAAACAATGGCAGCGTGAACTACCCTACGCCACCTTACCTGCACCCTACCATTTGGAAGGACCACTTCTAGGAGTAAAAGAGAGGAAAAACAAACAGTAGCTAAATTTTCATATCTAAACAATGTTTGGCCTCCCTGCTGAGACTTCCAGCAAACATTATGTTTACACTGAGACATAATAAACCTCATTTAACATACTCCAACTGTTAGGAACATTTTTCAGTCACTCCCAACAGGACTTGAAATAGCCAATTGGTAACAAGTCAAAAAGCTTCCCTAGTGAGCATGCAGGCCCAAGAAAATGATTTCTGTAGAACTTATTCTAGGGGAAAAAAAAGATGACAGACTCTTATGAGTGTGAAAATAAACTCTTCGCAGTTGGAACTGCCTGTAAAACAATGCCATGATGCATTCCTAAGTTAGCGGACAAGCAGCTCTAATACCTCCTCTTCAGCTCAGAATCTTGCCAAGCATAAGCAGAATGGAATTAAAAAGACTTTGGGGTCAGTTTCACCACCACTATTCATAACACTAGATGCAGCTGCAAAAAAATCAAGATTCATGTCATTTTATATCAGCTGCTCCTTTTGAAGAAATCGCTGAACCACAGCACAGAGATACTAAACCAATTTGTGAGGAAAGAAATTAAAAAAAAAAAAGATGATTAACAGTAGTAGAATAATGGGACCTTCCACTTTTTACAAATGAGGATACTGGCCTGATTTTCACTGCCTAACTCCCACTGAAGAGAGTGGCAATTGCAAGTACATTTCTGAAGAGAGTCAGGTCATAAATCATTTTACAAGATCAAAGAACTGGGAATAGAAGCCACATTTAATTCAGTCCAGTGTTTTAACCACTAGACCATATAGTGTCTACTAAAATAATTTCAGGATTATAAGTTTTTCTATGAAAAGACCATGGCTTTTCACATCTTTGTATGGGTCATTCTATTATTTTCAGACTTTACAAACAAATGGAAACCCTGGCTACTACTCTAGCCAGAACATAATGGAGAAACTATCCAACTAAAGCTCTCATGGGAAAGCAGCTGTCAGAACTAGGAACACATATCTGTCCAGCTGCCAGAACTAGGAACACATATCTGCCCACCCCTAAATTAGTTACATACCAGTGTAAACAGGAGAAAGACAAATGAAAAAAGAATAAGGAGCCAACATCTACCTTCCATCAAAAAAGAAGAACTTGCCACGGCCGTTCTTTTCTCCATGCACAAAGTTTCCTTCAAATCTGTCTGTAGATGAATAGGTGACTGTACAGAACCCATGTGGCAACCCATCATCATCCAGAAGCCCTTAAATAAAAATTTTAAAAACAGTAAAAACATCAGAACAGATTTGCAATCACATATAATAACCACCCTACATATCCCCTTCCAAATGTTGTTGGTTCCTAAAATATTTATTTTAACAGACCTTTGCATTAAAATATATTTTAAAAATATGGACCAGAGCTATTCAGGACTATTTACAGCCAGTTAAATCATAGCAACAACCTGTTATAAAAATCTTTGGAAAAAAAATAAACCAAGCTAGAGCAGTCGATGGAATAAGACAACTTAATTATTTTCAAATAGCACTGCCCATGCGCTATGATGTTCAAGTACTTAAAAAGCAGAAGTACATTATCTAGGAATAATTCCCCTGTATGACATTGGAATGGATTCCAGATTTTATAGTTCATCCAACAATGTATTTTTAAAAAAATGTGTATTTTGAAAAACATATTCAACACCTAGTAGCCCAAAGACAAATCGTACTACCAAGGGTGGGCAAAAAACCAACACTATTTGGCCAAATCATATTCCCTGAAATTAAAACAAATGCAACTAGTATAAATAAACATTACAAAGCTTTTTTAAACAGATCAGATCACTTTCTATTCAATAGCTTTTAAGTGTAGTTTATTGTTTTGCTTGTTTGTTATACTTCCTTTCCATTCCAAGCTTCATGTCCCCTTTTCCTTTGTTTTATTATAGCAGATCACAGTGAATCTACGTCGTCCTCTTTTGCCTCTGCAAGCTTCTCTTCCTATACTGTGAGCTTTACCTCCTCCTATTTTCTCTTTCCCATTTCTCCTCCACAGTCTCTCCCCATCCCTTCTCCTATCTTCCCCTATTTCTTCCACCTCCTTCCTTAGCCTTCATACATATGGCTTCAAAAGACAAGCCAACAAAAACAAACACCAACAACAGCCAAAAGATTATCCTAATGTGGAGCCCCAGCATCAGAGGCAATAGCCAAGTGGAAAAATCAAGTTCCCTCTACATCTGCTGGGACGTAGCAGAGTGATTGAAGTTCACATGTGTAGACTGCAGCCAAAAGTGTCTGATTTGAACACCTGATTCCACCATACACACCCACACCTCCCAGCCACATCTGACTATTCCATTACCCCTCTACTGTTCCACACCTCTGGATGCTACCAACGTGGGAGCAGAGCAAGTCTTTGCTAATCTACACTTCCTCAGCTTCTCCAGCAAACAGCTTCAGCACCTGGTTCCACAGTAGCTCAGAAGTTTCCCAAGCAGCAGCGTGAATCAGACCGGATTCCTCCCACTTCACTACTGCCCACAGGATTCAAAAGAGCAGCTGTGTAAACTGTTGAAAGTCTGTTGTTAGTTTCACTCTTCTGCAGTTTTGGAATATCAGGAGCATTAGCAAAGTAATCCAAGTCCCTTAAGGAAGATGATAGTTATCACTTGGATTCACATTTTGGAAGGTGGTCCACTGTTTGCCCTGTCCTAAGTTAGAGCAGAAAGAGCACAGAAACTCTGTAAGAAGCTTCACTTGTCCTCCTTCCTATGAGCTCAAGCATTATCCCCCTTCATATACATATACACTCCTAATTAGAGCTAGACATAGTGTGGTATAAGGAATCTCCTCAGTGTTAATGAGTTACATGCACAGGGCAAGGGCAAGGGGGATGAGCCAATCCATCATATTAAAGCAAGTTTGTTTTCAACATGTCTCCTTACAAAGGTACTGCCCGCTAACAGATCACACTGTCAATATACACATTTCTTTACCTTTGTTACCAATATTACCTTGGATTATTAAAGCCCTTAAAATCCATTTTACTGCTATTGCTGTTTACTGCATGCATTACTCTCAGCTTGGATAGCCAAAGTGCATGTAGTCAGCACTAGCTGGTAAGCTCTTTGTAGCAGTGAGTGGCTTTTGTGGTATATTTGTACAGTACCTAGAATACCACGGTTCTGATCCATAGATAGGCTCATAGGCAGCAATCAATCAATCATGAGATTTTAGTGCTGCAATATTTGCATTTCAGACACTACAAAGGAATGTTAAAAAGATAATTGTTTTCATTAGCATTTAAAAACATGCGGATTCATTCCTATACTGCCACAGGTACCAGAGAGGGGCAGTTTTTACTCCCCCTAGTCAGAGGCTGCAGGGACTGATGTGGAATCTGAGGTAGGCTATTACAGGCAGTCCCCGGGTTACATGGATTTGACTTACATCGGATCCCTACTTACAAATGGGGTGAGGCAACCCGGGGTGAGCAGACCAGGGAGACGCGAAGCTAGCGGCCCCCCCCAGCAGACCAGGGAGACGCGGAGCGGCTTTTCTCAGCAGACACTTCAGCTTGAGAATAAAGGACTGAGGGAAGTGAGGTGTGGGAGAATAAAACTGAGCTCTGGAGAAATGTTTGGCTAGAGTTTCCCCTACAATATGTACCAGTTCCGACTTACATACAAATTCAACTTAAGAACAAACCTACAGTCCCTATCTTGTGCGTAACCCGGGACTGCCTGTTCTCATTTTTTTGCTGCCCTAAGTCATGCATGGGGCTTTTCAGTGACATAGAATACCCAGGCTCCAATTCTTCTGGGGCCATACCCCATCCCACCTTCTTGTGACTGCCTGCACCCCATTGCCACACTATTCTCAGCACATTCTGGAGTACAAGCCAGTATCTGCTGTGGGAGTGGTGCACCTATGGCCCTGTGCCTAGCACACCTATGGCTTTGTGCCTGGCAAAGGGGCCCCCTGCAACAAGAATACTCACAAGTGGTATGTATGCAGTGTTGCCAACTCTCATGGTTCTCATAAGTCTCATTATAATCAATGTTTTCTTTAAAGCACCAGCTCCAAGATTCAAAGGGATAGGTGCAATTACAGCCTTTATTCTTAAAGAAAACAGGTTTCTATCCCTCGTAGCTCAGGAAAAAAATTTCAGAATGTGACCCCAAGCACCAGGAATGCTCAAAAAGCAGAAGGCAAATAAAAGAAACACCTCATCTTTTATTTTTACATAATCTCATTATTGTTGGTGATTTTGATTCATGATTTTTAAACATTTGGGGTTAACAATACTGCTTATGCCTGTCTTATAGACCTTTCACCCTATGCTAGTTCACACGAAGGGGCCAAAACAACGAATCACACCCATTACGGAAAACATTTCTATTGGTCTCAGGATTTAGGAACAAATTTGAAAAATACTTGATTAAAAAATATTTTATGCCAAACCCAAATGGATAGAGTCACTTGGTACTCTAACATTGGTTTATTTCATTATATAACAAACTCCTTAATTTCTACAGGGAGTGACACAGAGGACTGTCAATGCCAATTGACAAAGTACTAACTGCTCTTTACAAACAGCTCCTGCCTCTAACCTGATAAACTCATGGCACTTTATTCACCCTTGGATTGTATTAATCCATAAAAGGTAGCATGTAAGATTTGTACTGAAATCTTGCAATTTAATCACTGCAACATGTATGTACAAGCAATATCTGTACTATATTAAACATTATATCCTTATAGAATGCCAAGAGTCAGTAGGGAATCATATGGCTTAATGCTGGCAAATTCAAGTGGCTGTCTCGCTTCCCTGGCTAGCCAATTATACAGTGTATTACTCAACTCCCCAACGCAACTCTGGCAGTAAGCCAGAACAATCTATGGAAAACCATCAAAAACAAAGTATAAATATTGAAACCATGTGGAAATGAAAAGGAACTACAGGAGAGTGAGTGGATCAACCTTTCTGAGAATGAAGGCAAGACACTGATTCAATGTATATCACAGGGTTGGGAAAGACACTTCACCTCCATTCACTGAGGAGGAATCTTAATGAAAGACTGAGATCCTAAATCCTTTGGGACAGCTATGCTTCAAAAGACTGATCTATGGGGCAAGAATCTACTTTACTAGATCGGAAAGGTAAGATTAGTCTGGATACCACCACAGAGGGACACTTGGAGGGGACTCAGAGGTCAGTCTGTAACTATTGTCGAGTTGTACAGCCGGGGCTGGAACAAGGGTGAGGTGAGTGAGGCACTTGCCTCAGGCACATAGCTGAGAGGCACAGAAAAATAATATAGAAAACTAATTATTTTAAGACAACTACTTATTTAAAAACAGTATCGCTTCCCTCCCCTGCCCATTAGCATCGGTCAGCCCACAGTTTACGTCAGGCCAAACATTGCTGCTTCGCGATCCAACAGTCACCAGCCCTTGTGGCCACCTGCATCAGCTGCTTCCGAGCAGTGCAGGAGGCCGGATACCAGTTTAGCCACACCAAGCGCTGCCTGAAGGTGCCCTAGAGCAGTTCCCAGGTGTGGGGCCAGGGGAGAAGGGACTCAGATTGCCCTGCACAGAGGCAGAGATGCAGGGAGTGAGGTGGGGGTGTTAGCAGGGGCAGCCCGTGGCTATAGGCGGACTCGGCTGCTGCCTAGGACGCTGCTGCACGGGGCACCCAATGATGACGTCACAGGGCACCCGCGGATTATGTCAGTGCATTGACGGCCCTGCAGGCAGGGGCGCTGATCGCGTGCTGCTGCACGGGGCACCCAATGATGACGTCACAGGGCACCCGCGGATTATGTCAGTGCATTGACGGCCCTGCAGGCAGGGGCGCTGATCGCGTGCTCCGCCTGGGGCACCAGCTGCCGCAGCCAGTCTCGGGCCACTCCTGGGTGTCAGGCTGGGAGCCAGGACTTCTGGGTCTTGTCTCACCTCTGCCAGGGGAGTGGCTCTAGGTCTTAGGGGTATGTGATTAGAGCTGGGGGTCTGGGAGTTATGGTCCCTGGGTTCTATGGGTCAGGATCCAGACTCTTAGACCAGGCTATGCCGTCTTCAATCTGAAAATAGTGATAATAGGTAGAGAGAGCAAAAATGGGCAAAAATGCATTAGATTGTAAAAACATTTTGGTTTTACCAATTCATGCATGCTGCTCTCCAAACCATTGGGAAAAAAGCCATTTGGGGTGGGGAAAGTATGCGAGAGAGAATGTTTAAAACCATTGAGAGAATATGCCTCCTCCTGCACAAAAATTCTGGCCTGTATAATCTGTGCATAGCCTGGTCTCTTAATCAGCTTCAGCTTTTTTTCAAACTCTCTCATGTTTAATTAGACCTCTGCTCACAGCAGATCCTCTCCGAGAAATCTTCCTTCCAACTTAGACTCCATACTCTCGCTGATGCTTTTTGGAGCACCCAGATCTACAAGTCGCCAGGTGGTCACCTGCCTCCAGCATGATTTGTCTAGATGAAAAACTGTTTATTAGTTACACCGGCACAGTTAATGTGCTATAGTCACACCAGTATAACAGTATGGACACACTGATTCTGAAATAAGAACAGCTTTTTCCTGTTTAGAAGCTAAATCAGAAAAAATAAAAATTTTATACCAGAGTAAATTGCTCACAAGTTATACTAGTGTAATTATATGGGTTTAAATTTACAACTTGGTTTATGTTGATTTAACTTTCCCATATAGACAAATTGTAAGAAAATACAACCAATTCCTGTTACAAAAGCACCAAAGGGAAAATATTTACACTTTTCAGGTTAAGTCAAACTATAAGCACTTACAGCAACAAAATATTTATTCAGTTTGGTCAGGGTGCTACTGGAGTGCAAGAAAACAAATACACTGAAGACAGTTTTATGTTTACACAGATTATACATGCCAGAATTTTTGTGCAGGAGGCATATTCTTTCAATGGTTTTAAACAGAAACCTACAGTCAAGAGGTCTCCCTACAAATAGGCAGCCATGAACTTCAGTTCTAACTTCAGACATGAAATTACTTCTACATCCAAAGAAATGAGAGAGAAAAAAACAGAATGCTTTAATCCAAGGCAAATCAATTTTAAGCTTAGTTACACTGGTGCGACTTTAATATACACCAGGCCTTCTGATTTAGTCCAATTCCTATGGAGCCAACCGCAAAAGTCACTGATTACAGCAGGAGCAAAATGGAGTACTTCACTTTTCCTCCTCAATGGCCCCTAATCATTTGTAAAAGTGAGAGTTTTTGCTTCTTTCCTTTATTTGGACATTATCCGGATTCTTACATCTTCTCTAGATAGTAGATTCTTCAAAGCAGGGACCTGTCTTTCTGTGGATTTGTAAAGCATGTAGCACAATAGACCCCCAGTCTTGGCTGAGGCCTTTATACAAGGCTACAATACAAATAACAGAGTTAATAAGAGACTAAAACACAAAAAGGCCAACCTGGTGGTATAGTAGTCATGGTATGAATGGTCAAGCATCGGACCTGGGTATGATCTCATTTCTACTTCTAGTCCTGGGATAAAGTTAAAAAGGAAGTACCTCATGTCACTCAAGAGCAATCACTCTGCCAATCAATAATTACCTTCAGAACTCACCAGAGCACACAGGGAAATAAACCATTATGTGAAACCATAATGTGCTGCAAAGGAGCTAGCTACGATAACAGGGACAGTATCGTGATGCTTAGCACAACTAAAAATAGCATCCTAACCAATATTTTTGGCAAGGATATAATATCAAGTTCATACACAGGTACATGAATTTATACACATGGTTTACTCATCACTCCACAGTTCGCAGCACTTAAACAAATCCCTCCAATCCCCTTTGCAATTTAAAGTTCCTATATAAGCTTTGAGTCTGGCATAGCTTCCATTGCTAAAATATCTAATCATTTATTACATTATGTAATAAAAAACAGATTCTAGTAGCAGCTGCACAGTACGGAGTCACATATCTACTGCCATACTGGCAAGCCAACTTCAGTAACTTTTTCAGACACATAGCAATGTCCTGTTTGCCTACCATAACACAGAAGCAATCAGTCACTGA